ATGCTCCCTGGCCCTCTTTCTTAACCCCTGAGGGCCTAGAGGTGGTAACACCTCCACTGTCACTGGCCCTGGGCACCACCTGTGCTCCTTGGGACCAGTGCCATGTTCTTCTCACTGGTCTCCTACCTTCTAGTCTCTCTACCTCATGTTTCTCAAATGTGGAAACTGCTGGTTCTACAGCCAGAGGCTGCTTCCCAAATGCCAGGCCCAGGACCAGGATAAGCTGCACAGTTTCCAACAAGGCCCATTGTTCCTTTAAGCTTTTTGATGCTGAATAGCCTTTTTTAAAAAATGAAATTAAGATGAAGGCCAATGGAAATTACTTTTAAAACAATTAATTGTGGTAAAATAACATAAAATTTGCCATTTCAAGTATTTTTAAGCGTCCCATTCAGTGGCAATAAGTACATTGATGTTGTTGTGCAACCATCCATCTACAGAACTCTTCATTTTCCCAAACTGAAACTCCATCCCCATTGAACACTAACTCCTCACTCCCCTTGCTCAAACCTTGCAACCACCACCTATTTTCTGTGTCTAGGAATCCGTTGACTCTAGGGACCTCAGATAAGTGTAATCACACAGTATTTGTCCTTCTGTGTCTGGCTTAACCAGCTACACGGTGAGTCATGCTTTCTCATTGTTCCTTAGAAACCACTTACACTCACACTCCCACCTCCACAACCCCTGCATTCATTCTTACTCTTCTCTCTGGCTGGAGTCTTTCTCATTTTTTCCTGGTAAAATTCATCCTAGTCTGCCAGTCATATTGTCACATCATTTCCCCACCTTTGATTTCTGCTGTGTCTGCACATTCATGTCCCACACTAGGCTATAAGCACTTGATAAAGACTTCACCTGCCTCTCCTCCATTCTCATTCGTTCCTATGCCATGAGCTCCTATCTTCAGGCTAGGGACTGTCCTGGGCACTGGGATACAACCACAAAACAACCCCAAGCTTTGATTTAACACAGGGGTTAACAGGTTCTGCTGGAGGCTGGCAAGGTCCTCATAGGAGATGGCTGTGAACCTCCTGACCATCAGCTTAGCTCTTCAGAAACATTTCCGTTTGTAATTCCAGGTCCTCAGATGGATCCTGGTTCAAGGCCTAAGTTGTATTAAAGCTAACTCATATTTTTGCCTCTATACGTGCTATGGTCTGAATATTTGTTTCCCCTCTATAAATTCATACGTTGAAATCCTAACCCCAAAGATGATAGGATTAGAAGTAGGGCTTTGGGGGTGATCAGGTAATGAGGGTGGAGCCCTCACCAAGGGGATTAGTGCCCTTATGAAAGAGACTCCACAGAGCTCTCTGGCCCCTTCCACTATGTGAGGACACAATGAGAAGTTCCCCAAAAAGAGGGCCCTCACCTGAGCATGCTGGCATTAGCTTGGACTTCCAGCCTCCAGAACTGTGAGAAATAAATTGTTGTTGTTTATAAGCCACCTGGTCTGGCATTGTGCTATCGCAGCTGGAACAAACTATGACAATATGTAAAATCACAGGTTGGCCATTTTAAGAGGGAATATCGAGGAAAACCCTTCTAAGTGCTCAGCTCCCACTGGGGAGAGATTCTAAGGGATAGGACATCGTATGACACCATGAGCTATTCGCAAGGTGGGATAGAAGTGTGGGGTGGTCTCACTTTGCATTTGAACCGGAGGCCTTAGGAGTTCAGCAAAGTGGAGCACTAGCCCCAGATTTGAAAAGAAAGTTCAGGCCATGCACCCTGCCAGCTTTGCTTTCCAATAGTCCACAGACCTTGGCAAGTTAATGTTTCCTTTGCAACATACACAGAGCACTCAGTTATTGAGTTCCCAAAAGATAAGCTGAATCATCCTTACACAACAGAAAGAGAATCCATCTCTTTATCCATCTTGTCACTTTTCTGTGTGGGCCTGAGCCAGACTCACCTCCTAAGCTGCCTCAGGTTTGGAGCAGTAGCTCCATCCCCTTACTCGCAGTGTAGGGCTTGCAAATCCGCTTACCCCCAGCGTAGGGCTTGCAAGTACTCACTATATTCCCAGTCACTGAGGAACCAGCAGAAAGCTCAAGGAGAGGGTCTCTCTGTTGGGACACCCTCCATCCACACTCACACACTGGTACCTTTTCTGAGTGAGGTCCTGTGCAAGTCTCTGGGGTACACAGATGGAGTAGACCCTGCCCTTGCCCTCAGGGGTCTTACAGTTGAAAGACAGGGAGACAGACAGACAAACATAAGGGAAATTATATTAGACTGTGAACTGGGCTATGAGTGTGGGAATTCCCAAGGGACGAGAGTTGGGGAAGGCTTCCCAAAAGAGATAATGCACAGACCAATCCCCAAAGCATAACTGGGGCTCAGAGAGATGAAGTGAAGGGGCATTCCTGGCACAGTGAACAGAACTGGCAGAGGTGGGCTCAGTATGACTCATTCAGAGAGTATCATCGTTCTAGGGTATAGAAGAGCTGGCTCTGCCACTATGAACTCAGGCCCTGCTTCTCTCTCTAGTCTATGATAGTATAGATTTAGGAGTCACATGCTGTCACTTCTACTGTGTGTTCTCTTTGTTAGAAGCAAGTCATTGAATCCAGCCCATGCTCCAGGGCTTAAGGAATTGCACTCCTCCTCTTGAATGCAGGAAGTGTCCACCCAGTCCACAGTCCACCCAGTGGCCACAGATTATTTACAGACCTCCCACATGCAAAACATATGCACTCTTCCAAATACCCCCCACCAAAAGTCCCATGCTATTACAGAATCAGCTCAGAGCCTAGACTCTGCATCTAAATCAGGTCCTGATGTGGAGGAAGCTCCTTGGGCATATTTCCTTCCATGGAGCTCCTTGAGTACAATCACTATCTGAAGAACTGTGGATTCAAGGGACAAGCTGTCTGCACCCCTTCCCCCCTGCCCACACCCAACATATAATGGTGGGAGAGGCACAGCATGACCACCACAGACATCCTTGTACCAAGGGGATGGGGATGGGAGGCACACAGTTCTGAACCCTACCTGGGCAGAAGTTGGAAGTTCCTTGATTAGCACTCAAGTCGACTTTGGCCTGAATGTGATTCTCTGTGCTCTTCTTCCATCCTTTGAACACTTCATTCTGCTCTCCAAGTTGTCCTTTTGTTTCCATGAAATACAGCCTGTGTTTGCATCTGTGTGCTTTCTCAGGCTGCTTCTTGCCAGTAGAATTTGAGAGGAGGGGGTTCTAGAAGTCTCTTTTCACTTAGTACTATCTCTGATCCTTTCAGTCCAAGTTGGCACTGCTTTGTCAATGTAATTCTTTTGAAAACTTTGTGTCTTCTGTGAATCTTATTGAGGTTTATTCCTTTAGCCAACTGGCAGACCCACACATGTCTTTGAGATAAACCCTGCTCTACCTTGGGCTTCTGCTGAATGGCAACTTCAAGTGTCTTGGAAGTCCTACTGTTTAACCAAATACTCTGAAGTGCCACTTTTGATCCTTTTGAGGACTTAACAAAGGATGTTTAGCCACCCCCTTGGCTTTATCATGCCATCTCTTCCTGGCATGGCCCCGCATTACATCTTTGCCGGGAAACCATTTGTTAATTTTAGCATCATTTGACATCTGGGAACTTTCAAAATCAGCATTCTTTTTTATTTAGTAGTCTCTCTTTTGGCTTATTTCTCTTCTCCCACATTTTAGTATAAGCAGCAATAAGAAGCCAGGAGGCACCTTCAACATTCTGCCTGGAAATCTTAGCCAGATCATCCGGTTCATCTGGCGCATTTTCTATTTTCTATGTGACCGCATAAACTTTCTGTGTAAACTCCCCTCCTCTCCAGCTCCATGCGCTGCTAAGGCTGTGGGTTCTTCCCTGACTTCCTGACACTTTTAAGGGTGTCCAATCTCCCAAGCCCATTTTTTCAGGATTTCTGGTCACCTATCCTTCTGCCTTCTCTATTCTAGCCTCAAAGCTCTGCTCATGCTATTTTCCCAGTCCAGGCCCCTGACAAAAGTGAACACATTCTACAGGTTTCCTGTCCTCAAAGAGTTGTAGTAGCTGGAGAGGCAGATTAATAACCAAATAATGAACTAAAAAATGTCAGATATGCAGTAAGTGCTGTGTAGGAAATAAAAGAGTGAAGTGATGGGGACTGGCTGAGAAACTTCTTTAGATTGTGTGACTTGGAAAAGCTTCTCTAAGGCTCTGGATCAGATATTGGATATATCAGCTACGATGTGAAGGCAGGGGCATGCCTCTGTAGTATTTGAGAGAGGAACATTCTGGCAAGGGCCAGTGTAAAGGCCCTGAGGCCAGAACACACTCCAGTGTTCAGGCACTGTGTAGAGGTCCAGGTGGCTGAGCTCAGGTGGAGAGAATCTCAGAAGGAGCGAGGCTAAGAAGGCCATAGCAGAGTCCAACAGCAGGTGTGGCAGGAAGGGCATGCTTGATGGCTTGTCCAGGAGCCACTGGACATGGGCTCACAGTCAGAAAACAATGTGCAGATTTATCTTCCTCTGTATTCTCTTTTCTGGACTTTGGCCCAGAGTGGGACAGATAACCCTGCCTGAGACAGGGGAGGCATCGGGGCACCAGACTAGGTGGAAGGGAGCAAAAAGAAGAAGAATTGTCTAGAGGGAGGCCTGGGGCTGCACCAGGCAGGAAGAGCACTGGGCAGGCAGAAACCCCATTATTCACCTGGACACAGTTACTGTCTTTGGCTCTGCCCTTGTCCATTGCAGACGGTAGGAACTTGGCACATTATTCTTGAATGAGTGAGTGAGAGTGAAATTATCAGGATTGGCGAGTTTCTTCCCACCAACTCAGCCTTGCAGATATCCCTAACCGCCAGACACTTGAGCCTTTTCGAAGCCCTGTGACTTCTGAAGGGTCCATATCAAGTCCTTTCGCCTGTAAATGCAAGCAAGCCCAAAGAGGGTGAGTGACACGCCCAGGCCACACTCACACAGCCAGTGAGAGCCCTCCCCACCCCTGCCCAGGGCGACATTCCGCCCGCCCCGCGCCCCGCCCCTGGCCTTGGCCGAGGCTCTGGGACAGGCAGGGGCGGGTCCCACCTCTCCGCCGCCGTGGGCCGGCCTGCGCCAGCCTCTGTTCCCCGACCGAGACTCTCAGAGGTCCCTTCTGGCCCGCGACTCCTGTGCCTCCTCCCGCGCTTGGTGAGTCCCCCCACCCCCAGCCCCGAGCCCCGACCCTCCGAGGGAAGGAGGCTGCCAACTCGCGACTCCAGGGTTTCTGGGCTCGGGTCCCCCAGTGGGGGCGCCTGGTGGACGCACGAGCTTCGCTGCGGGGACGCAGGGCCTGGGGTCCAGGTCCGGGATTCCCCCTGGGGCAGCCGAGCCTCCAGCTTAGCCAGGGGTCCTCAGGCTAAAGGGTTTGGGCTCGCCGAGGATCCAGCCGGGCCGGGTGGGCAGGGCGCTTTACCGAGCCCGCTCAGCCCTGTGAGGCGGGCGTTATCTAACTGAGGATCAGAGAAAGAAAGGGACAAGTCGAAGGTGACAGGGCTGGTCCGTGGCGGAGGGGCCCTCGGTCTGCTGGGCTAAGTCCCTCACCCCATTCTCGGGAGTGGAAAAGATTGCCCCCCCCGCCCCGATTGGCCAAATCTGGGGGCCGGGCACAAGGGCCTTTTGTGATTGGAGAGTTTCCACCCCCTCCCCCTCCGCCGTCCCTAGTGCACAAGAGCATTGACCCCTGGGCCCCAGCTTGACCCCAACACAGTTCTTGAGGTCGCGCTACTTAGAGCCCAGCCCCTCCTCCCCGCACCTGTTCAGGTCCCTCATTTGTCACCTCCCTAGAAGAGGCAGGAATATCCCTTAGGTGCAGATGGAGACAGAATTTAACAAGTATGCTCAGACGCTGAGTTAAGGGTGGTGGCCTTTGGCTTCAGGTGACTATTTTCTCCCTACTCCCTCGCTTCTCAGTGATCTTGGTCAAGTTTCTCAAACTCTGACTCTTAGTTTCTTTGGCTAAAATTGGGGTGGAGGGATAAATACTAAGTTGCTTCAGAATGACATGAGATTATGCACTTTGGACCTAGGAGACCTTCTGTGAATGTGGGCAGCTGTCCCTTCTACGAGTATTAACCTTCAGGACAATGTTGGGAGACAATCTTGTGACGTCTCGTTTGGAGACAAGGAAATTGAGCCTTAAGAGTTGAAAGCGATTCCTTAAGGTTGATTACAGGTCTGCGGGCTCAGGTGTTCTGGGGAGCCTGTACCATGGCCAGCCCCTGTGCACAGGATAGTGGGAAAGACAGCAGATGAAACAGGACCCCCCAGGGACCCTGCTGTGGGAGGGACACAGTAGCCTCCCTGCCAGGTGCCTAATGGAGCAGACTGACTGCCGAAGAAAAGTCAGCTTTGCTCTCCCTTGCCTCTCCTGCCCCCCCTCCCCTGCTGCACCCAAGGCAGCTGGTGGAATGGGATGCCTTGGGGCTGTGCCCTGCAGCTTGGCTGAGCCTCTCCCCGCTACTAGAGCTGCATTCTTCTGCAGGCTCCCAGGACCACAGCTTGAGAACAGGTGGCCCCGAGCTGCTGCTCCTGCACAGTGCCACCCAGCTTGGGCGAGTCTGAGAGCCGGGTCCTGGTAAAGCGGGGGAGTGAGTTTTTTGTGTCACGGAGTCGAAGAATGAATCTCTAGGACAAAAGAGAGTGAGTAAAGAGAGTTTTATTAAGCAAGGATATAGAAAAAGTTCTCAGGAGTGAGAGGGGTCCTTGCAGGGTTGCCGCGGAGGGCTTTTAGGGTTGGTTTTTTATTGAAGACTAACCAGGTAACTTAAATCCTTTTAACATCTCTAATGATAGCACCATTCAATAAGGACTAGTGATTACACCTTTAACAACTTACTTCCTTTTTAGGGTCTGGTAATTCTTTGTTGGTCACAAGTGACTGTTATAACAAGACCCCACTTCTGACACCTAGGGGCAGGGTGGTCTCGTTTGTTCCCTTATCTCTGATTTTCTTACAACTCTGCATTTTTGGGATTTCTGTGAGCCTGATCCTGTGGCCCCCAAACTCTCTCTCCCTACCTAGCCCAGCCTGTCCCTTAATGAGACCCTTCAGATGTATATCTGTGGGTCATATACGTGGGGGATGATTGCCAACATGTATCTTGGGGGGGGGGGTAGAGATAAAGGAAGTTTCCAAAGGAATTTTTATATGTTAAAGTAGACTTACAGGGTCCTGGAGGTCAGGCTAAGATTGCCTTTTGCCCTTAACAAAGTGTCACCGTCCAGGCAGTGAAGTCACTAGGGGACTGCCACTCTGCCTGTTTCAGGGACTTGGCAATGAACTCTAAGTAGCAAGGAAATTTCACTGGGGAGCGAGGTCTGAGCTGGGTGCTTGGGGTAGGAAGCCTGGGAAGCCCTGACAGTCCTCCTGCTGCCAGGGCAGCCCCAGAGTGTACCCACGCAATGCCGGGGGCAACGGTGCTGAGCACGCCAACTCAGGAAGGAAGAAGAGGCTTGTTGGCTGCCTGCCAGCCAGCCCAGCTGCCTGGCAACAGCTCTGTAGTCCCTTCGCTGACTCCGCCCCCTTGTGGCTCCTGATCTTTTCCGAGGCCAAAGGTCCAGATTGGCTGAGGCCCCTCCCAGAGCACCTGTGCCTGCCAAGCTCAGCTTCCTTGGATTGTGACAACAGCCCCCCTGGTGGCTACCCTGACTCTACCTCCCCGCTTCCAAAGGGATCTTTTTTGTACTGCTTTACTTTCCCGCAAGTAATATATGCTCAGGATAGAAAAAGCCAGAACATTCTGGTAAAAAAAGATAATTACTGTCATTGAAAATCCCCCAAACCCAAACACTCTACTCAGTGACATTTAACATTTCTGTGTGAATCCTCCCAGGTTTTTGCGCTGCAAGTTCCCAAACATACACACACACTCAGCACTTTTAAAAATCATGGTGGCTTGTTATCTGTTGGGGTGTCGTGGCCTACATATTCCTGGTGGTGAAGCAAAGTGTGTTGCCCTAACCGGCTGTATGGCCCACCCAGTGTGAATGTATCATAATTTTACAGTACTCATGCCTTTATTTGCTCACCCAAACATAATTTAGAAGTGAAAATGCTGAGTCAAAAGAAAAGAACCATTTCTAGGATTTTTATATTTATTGCCAAATTTTCCTTTAGAGGATTTGCGCCAATTTGTTATCCCATTAGTGCGACAGGAGAGTGTTCATTTTCCCATAACCTAGACAACATCAGATATTTTTACAGTCTTAAGTGCCTTCCAATTTTATAGGAGAAAAACAGTCCCTTGTTTTATTATGCATTTATTTGATTAATTGTAATTTGAACACGTTTTTATTCATCTTCTGGCAATGGGCTTTTATTCTTTTGGCAAATTGCTTCAGATACATGTAAAATCTCCCTGCATGAAAATTTATCACATGCTTCCTTTATGTTTTTCTTTTAGAGTCAAGTTTCTAAAGCCCATGATGTTTTCTTCCTATATTTGATTTTTAAAATATTTATCTTAACCCAATTGAACTGCATTTTAAAGAATGTGAACTATAGACCTAGATTTGTTTGTTTAAATTAGTTTTTAGAACAATTTTAAGTTTACAGAACAAGTGAGCAGAATACAGAGTTCCCACATGCTCCCTCAGCCCCCATGCTCCTCCACTGTCCCAAATATATAAGTAACACCTTGCATTAGCACTAATGTGTGGCACACTTGTTACTCTTGAGGAGTGGATATTGATACAGTATTCTTAAAGTCCATAGTTCACATCACTCTTTGTGTTATGTATTCAGTGGGTTTTGACAAATGTATAAGGACCTGCATCTGCCATTATAGTAGGTAACTGTGAAAAAATCTCCTGTGTTCCACCTGTTCATTCCTCTCCCCGCTCCTCCAAGCCCCTGTCAAACACTAATTTTTTCTCCCTAGTTTTGAGACTGTTATTATAGTTACAATAATATAGTATGTAGCCTTTTAGAATTGGCTTCTTTCACTTAGCAATAGGCATTAAAATTCCTCTGTATCTTTTCATGGCTTGATAGCTCACTTCTTAGCGTAGAATAAAATCCTATTGTCTGGATAGACCACAGTTTACTTACCTACTCACCTACTGAAGGACATCTTGGTTGCTTCCAAGTTTAGGTAATTATGAATAAAGCTGCTATAAACATCTGTGTGCAGGTTTTTGTGTGGCCCTAAATTGCCAACTCATTTAGGTAAAGACTGTGGAGTGTGATTGCTGAATTGTATGGTAAGAGTGTGTTTAGTTTTCTTAAGAAACTACCAAACTATTTTCCAAAGTGACTGTACCATTTCTCATTCCCACCAGCAATGAATGAGAGTTCCTATTGCTCCACCTCTTCACCAGCATTTTGTGTGGTTAGTGTTTTGGATTTTAGTCATTCTAATAGATTTGCAGTGGAATCTCATTGTTGTTTTAATTTGCAATTCCTAGTGACATGTGATGTTGAACATCTTTTCGTATATTCATTTCCCATTGGTATTGCTTCCTTGCTGAGGTGTCTGTTCAGATCTTTCCAATTTTTAGTTGAATTGTTTTCTTATTGTTGAGTTTTAAGAATCCTTTGTATATTTTGGATACTACTCCTTTATCAGATGTGTGTTTTGCAGATTTTCCCCCCTCTCTGTGGCTTGTCTTTTGCAGAGCAGTTTTTTAATTCTAATAAAGTTCATTTTATCACTTTTTTTCTTCGATGGTTTTGTTGTTGTATCTAAAAAGTCAGACCCAGCATCATCTGGATTTTCTCCTATGTTATCTTCCAGGAGTTTTATAGTTTTATCTATGAAATCTCCTGTGTTCCACCTGTAATGGTATGTAAAATGTAAATTTTACATGTGATTGATGTATTGTTGATTTGAGGGTTTTTTTTTTAATGTGGATGTCCATTCATTCAAGAATTATTTGTTGAAAAGTCTATCTTTTCTCTATTGAATTGCCTTTACTACTTTGTCAAATATCAGGTGACTTTTTGTGTGAGTCTATCTTCTATTTGTCTACTCTTTTGCCAAAATCACACTGTCTTGATCCCGAAGTTGGGTAGTGTCAGTATTTTGACTTTGCCCCTCTCCTTCATTATTGTGTTGGATATTCCAGGTCTTTTGCCTTTAGTATAAACTTTAAAATCAGTTTGTTGCTATCCACAAAATAACTTGCTGGGATTTTCATTGAGATTGTGT